AAAATGCTAGAAACCATCTATCACCGTGGGTCTCCGCTCTAGTAACGGGCATTCTAGGACTACATGGTAACCCTTAAAAGTATATGATTTACAGCGATGCATTATCGTATATGAAAGCTTTTTTCCTAAATCAGTATGATAGCGATGCCAGTTTTATGACCGATATTGTCACAGGAACCTACGGTGATGATGGTTGCAAGGGCATTACTGATTACTCTGAGCATCAATAAGCTTGTCAAATGCTTCAAAGCCGTCATCGCTCTAGGTTCCTGCTCTCTGACCAGCATTTCAAAATTTCATCATGATGTACAAAACTATATATTTGAGTACGCAGCGATACGTCATGTGAAAACTTTTCCCAGAGACTGTCTACGACGTTAGTTAGACGACTGACAGATTCACGAAATCATACGATAGTGATAACTAGTTTACCATTACTGGTTCCTCTGGTCTTCAGTGAGTCTGTGAAATATTAGAAGCTATCTGCTACTGAAGGTCTCCGCTCTCCGAACCAACATGATTAGGATTAATGGTAGTGCGTAAAAACACGTAATTTAGATCTGCTCACTATAGCAGATGAAAATTTTCTTCATCGATGAATGTGATAATCATGCCGGTTATGGCACCGATAGAGTCAAGAAAACTTCCGGTGGCGGGCATTAAAAGCGTACTGCTGGTTATCCTAAGCTTGATGAGTCAATAGAATGTTATAAACCGGCGATCACCGTACATTCCTGATATTTTAACAGCTATTGTTGACCTTAAAAGTGTTTGTTGACGCGGCATACCTAAGTTTTTTGTATAAGCATCTTTCATACTCAGATAGCCTTGCGCTAACGAGTATCAGCTATATGAGCATCCTAATGTTATCTGGCGTACGCCTACAGCCCGCATCGTATTGAAGGAGCGATCAGCATACAAAAAAATTTTATTAAATTTTGTGAAGTATGCCGATAAATTACAGAAAGTAGACGAATATCAAATATATGTGCTCTTCTCGATTAAGAGATGGTCAGTTTCACTTTTAATTGGACTCAGTTTCAACTAAGTAGCTTTATTTGTAGTATATTATGAGCGGTGCTTACGGTGCTCGTATACCGGTGGAACGGTGAACGGTGCACCGCTACGCCGGTGACCGGTCCACCGGTATCACCGGTTGGTACGGTGCACCGGTGGACCGGTGAAACCGGTGAACGGTGAACCGGCGGACCGGTGAGACCGGTGGACGGTGAACCGTAGACCGATCACACCGGTGACCACCGTCACCGTTGCATCCCTATACCAATAATGGTAACTTCCTACACCTACTCACCTCTAATATAAAGATTTTAAAAGATTTTGAGAGATTTTGAGCGATTTTGAGAGATTTTAAAAGATTCTGAAAGATTTTGAGCGATTTTAAAAGATTTTGAAAGATTTTAGAGATTTTGAAAGATTTCAAAAGATTTTAAAAGATTTTAAATGCTAAAATCTGCTTTTTCCTCCTTGCTTACCTTACATAATATACTTTCAACAGTATAATACTCCATATTTCCTTCAATTAGATGTTAGTTATGCCTCATGTCTAATATTTCCTTGAAGACCTCTATCACAGTCTATAATGATCCCTGAGTCTTGTCTGTCGCGGTTGTAATGGGTCCAAAGTCATATCTGTCACGGTCCGTGATGAGTCCAAAGTCATGTCTGTCACGGCCTGTGACGGGTCACATGAGTGTCTGTCACGGTCTGCGGGGGGAGGGCGGGTGCAAATTTCTACTCCTAAATACTTCAGCATTCCTTTCAGATCATGTTTCTCAAAATATTTAAAAATCATTTTTTCTGACGTTCCTGAGATGGACGACGGCATTCATTTAAAGACTCTGCCGAGAATGTCACTATCTTTTTAAAGACCAGGTAGTGGCCCGAACGTTTTGAATGGTATTCATAGTTCATTAATACTTACATGGCGCACATAGTTTCGACTCAAAAGCAATCGATCCGTTGGTGTCTTTCCTTCGTGAGAGGATTCAATATGATCCGATTATCAGTTTTGCAAGAATCCAATTGTAACTTTTCCGACGTAATCCAGAGCAGAATCTTTTGTACAAAAAGCCTCGGCAGAAAGCGTATCTGACTCATCAATTGTTAGGGATGACGTCGGATTTCGGCACAATGCAGTAAAGAGTCCGATGATTCCTGGACAAACCTATAGGTAGGATTGAATCTCTTGCGAGGAGGACGGGAAGTGATAACTTATTTTTACTCGATTGTTATTAATAACAATGACCTTTCTTGTTACTTATTATGAATAAAAAAATAATAGATATAATTTTTCTAGAGAACCTTCAACTCGAATTGCTATCAATCTCAACCATATCAATTCTGTTGGTTTATGTTTAAAGAATGAACTCGCCATGGTTAGGGATGTGCAGTTTCAGTATACTGATCACCGATAAAGTCACACTGGCGTTCACCGGTACACTGATGACACTGACACTGGTGTTCAGTGAATCAGTACATACACTGACACTGGTGTTCAGTGAATCAGTACATACACTGACACTGGCGTTCAGTGAATCAG